AGTTTTTATTTTTTTTTTCACGGAATGAGCTTTGGCGACTAAAATTATTGGTCGCTAAAAGTGTTTCTTTTGGTGACTAAAAAGTTTGGTCGACGATTCATTGAGTATTGGCGACTAAAAGATTAGTCGGTAAATGTATAATTTTAAAAAGTGTAATTGACTATTGGTGACCAAAACTTTGGTCACTAAAGACCTATTTTTTGCCGACTAAAACTTTTTTAGTCGCCAATACCTCCGCCGACCATGTGTTCGCAACAAAACCGGCGACTAAAAAATTTAGTCGGGAAAACTAAAAAGTCGACTTTTGGCGACTAAAAATTTAGTCGCCAAATGTACTTTTTCTTGTAGTGCGTCACTATAAATACTCTATTTGGTTTGATTTTTATGATTACTTATTATTATCTAGAAAAATGATTCATCCCTATAATTTTGTTTCTTCAAATCTACTTCAATGATGTGGAATTAGAGGGGGCTAAAGATAAGAAAAACTAATTCATTTCTCTAATTTTGTCTCCTTATTCTATCTCCAATGATGTGAAACTATGAGAGTTATCAATGTGAGAGAGAGAGAAAGAGAGAGAGGGAGTATAAGATCACTTTCTATGGGTTTTAACGTCATTGGGATTGAAATTGAGAGGGATATAGCGGGACTGAAAGATGAGAGAAAGCGGAGTATGTGACCGCTTCACATGAATTTTAATCACGACATTAGAGTTGAAATTGAAGGACCTCAATTAAGGAGAAATTTTTATATACTAATTGGATATCACGTGGTGTTACCTTTCACCAATCACAAATGTATATGCCCTTTATTATTTCCTAAACACCCAACATAAATGTAGTAGATTTTATTGTCAAAATCAATTACAATAATAGAAAGTATTACATGATATATATTCTATCTGTATATAAAAATTGAGATAGCAAAACTATTTAGTCCAATTACATGAATAAAATGAGCTTGAAGAAATTCAACATGTTTGGTAGATTGGTTGATGCCACGCATGCAAGGCACTTAAAAAATGCCAAAAACAAAGGAGCACAAGCCAGCGCTATCTTCAAATTTATAATTGAACTCTTAAAGCAAAAACAGATATCTTTAATTAATGAGAAATGTTAATTTCACTTGCCTTCTTCGCAATGCACTTTTAAATTAATTCTTTTTTATGTGCATTAAAAATCACATCGTGTAATTTTATACACTAAAAACAAAATTTAGAAATTATTTTTCAAATGATTAATTTAGTTAAAAAGTCAACAACTTACTAAAGAGAGTCAAAATTAAAATTTTCTTAATTCATACATAAAAGCGAAAAATTCATTCTCAAACTTATTTTTTTGCACCTCTCACCTACTCTCAGTAAGTGCTACTGTCATGTTTCATATTTACAGGGCTTAAGTTTCATGTTTTCTATGGATCATTGTGTAGTGGGCAGCATTTCTTTAGGCTATGTTTAGGTGAGAGATTTGTAGAAAAATTTGGAATATGAAAAAAAATATGTGTGAAATTAAATATAGTTGTGTATTTTATCATTCATTTCTATTTTTTTTGTCAAATCTCTTCTCAAATTTTTGAATCAAACACAACCTTAAAAACTGTGTATGATTTGTATTTATTTCAATTACTACTATGTGGAGACTTGAAGTTACAATTGAAACCCAATTGATAACCCAACATAATATGTCAGGTATATTTTTATTAACAAAATTAACACAAATTAAAAAAGAAAGAATTAAAAGACCCAATTAGATAGAGAATCTTATGTTGGTTCAATTCGAGGTGAACGTGACCTCTATGGAAAATAATGATGATAGTATTGATGGAGAAAATGAAAACTAAGAAAGATGAGATAGGAAATAGATAAATAAATAAATAAAGTGTTTAACTTCATAAACGTCGATATAAGTATTTGGGAAAATTATCAGAAAGTCCTATATACCAATCTGTTACTCTTTATGGTCCTAAATTGAATCTTTTGAATTGGCAAGTCCTATTTTGCAAATTTGGTAGACAACCAAGTCCCGTTTCAAATTATCTGAGGTGTGGGTAGACTGATTTGCCCTTTTCTGTTATTGGCATCTACGTGTATTGTGGGATTGATTGAATATTTTATGGGATACGTTGCTCTGTCACGTTTGGTAAGCTGGATCATATGTGATAAGTACAAAATCTTCACAAATGTAAGCCTAAAACATGCTAGAAACAAAGGCACACGACCTGAGACATGTTAAGGGATCACAAGGCATTACATGGCAACTATGCTAAGCATGCATGGAGTACCAAAACCAATTTAAAATCATGTTATATTATGGAAATATAAGCATGAAAAACAGTCTATACATGCTCAACACACACTCAAACATGATGCTCTCTCAAGAGGCCAAAACATGCCCTTTTCAAGGACAACAAGGAGAGGGGGTGGCCTTCTCTCTTTAGAGACTTTAAGGCACCATCTCCACCACTGAAATCCCTCAAGATTTCAGTGGTGAAGAGGCCCAACCACCAAAGCCCCGAAACTAGCACAAAATAGCACAAAATGAGGCCTTTCAAGGCCTAAGAGGGGTCAAACACCCTCAAATCACAAAACACCCTTAATAAACAATCAAGAGGGTCTAAAAACAGAACTTTTTTGTATTATACACCAAGCTCAAAAATGAATTTAAGACAGGTAGAAATAAGGTGAAAAAATGGGGAATAAAGGGGTGAGATTCTTACCCTTGAAGCCTTCTTCAAAAATGATGCTCCAATGACCCTCCTTGGCTTGAATCCAACACCAAAACTTCAAAATCAGTCCCTTAGAACCTCAGTTCCAAGAGGAAGGTGAAACACTAGGTGGTCGATTTTTTGTGTTCCAAGTTTAGTGGGATAGGTCCCCATAATGTGGGATTGTCGTACAAGATTCCAGGTTTAAACAGTTTCACTTTACAAGATGATGTGGATTTGGAAAACCTTGTTAGTCTTGCCCGATCATTCGGGTTGGAACACGTTTCTGTGTTGGTTGATCAGCATGAAGGTTGGATACTGTAAGTGCATATAGCGAACAACATAATATGCAGCCCAACCCGGTGTCCGAAATAATCGTTAATGACCAAGGAGGAAGTGATAACGAGGTTGATTTGTTGCCTGATTTCTGCCCGCACAATAATAAAGTATTACTGACTGAATCATGGACGCGGGGGTTAACCCACGTCGGGCAATGCTTCAGGGGGGTGCACACGAATTTCGTACGGTTTTGTGCAAGTATGCCGTGGAGTTTGGGTTCAATTTCAGATATGTTAAGAATGATTATGTACGGGTAACAACAGTGTGCTCCATGGTGGAGGATAAGGGATGCACGTGGTCTGTACATGCTCGGGTGTTGAAAGCGAATCAATTTTTCTACCTTCGGAAATGGAACAGTGTGCATAGTTGCAGTGTATCCGTCCGGACATCAAATCATCCAAGGGTTGGATCTGATATGGTTGCTGATATTATGGCAGCTCGTGTTCGAGACAGACCACTCACACGTCCAACTGATGTCGTCTTGGATTTGAAAGATGATTATTGAGAAGGCAAGGAGGGAATTGTTTGGCGCCCATTCCGTATCATTCGACCAATTGCGTTGGTATCGTGAAGCCGTCATGCAATACAATCCTGAGAGTTATGTTGACATCGATTACGATGAACACAACTACCAGTTCCGCCGTTTTTTTATTTCATTCAAAGCATGCATTGATGGGTTTCGTCATTGTCGTCCATTACTTTTCCTGGACGGAACCTTCTTGAAAGGCAGGTTCAAAGGGTTTTTGCTAGCTGCCACCGCGAAGGACGGTAATCAAGGTGTGCCCCATTTTCATTTGAAAACATTGTATTTTTATGTTTTAATATATTGCACACGCTAATCATGTTGTCACCATTTTTTATAATAGGGTTGTTCCCGCTTGCTTATGCCATGGGTTGGACATCAACTACCGGGTTGCGTGGTTAGGGGTTGAGAAGGCAAGGGGGGAATTGTTTGGCGCCCATTCCATATCATTCGACCAATTGCGTTGGTATCGTGAAGCCGTCATGCAATACAATCCTGGGAGTTATGTTGACATCGATTACGATGAACACAACTACCAATTCCGTCGTTTTTTTATTTCATTCAAAGCATGCATTGATGGGTTTCGTCATTGTCGTCCATTACTTTTCCTGGACGGAACCTTCTTGAAAGGCAAGTGCAAAGGGTTTTTGCTAGCTGCCACCGCGAAGGACGGTAATCAAGGTGTGCCCCATTTTCATTTGAAAACATTGTATTTTATGTTTTAATATATTGCACACGCTAATCATGTTGTCACCATTTTTTTATAATAGGGTTGTTCCCGCTTGCTTATGCCATAGTGGACTCTGAAAACAACACGAATTGGGGTTGGTTCTTATAACATCTTGCCAACGTGGTACCAAGTGATAGGACACTGACGTTTGTGTCTGACCGAAACGTGGGACTTATGGAAGCAATGCCTACATTTTTCCTCACATTTCACCATGCATTCTACCTCCAACATTTACAGAGAAATCTGCGGGACAAACTACGATAGCATGCACCGGATTGGGCTTGTTAGCAAATTACGTAAGTGTGCATACGCACCCACCATAACAACATTTAATCAAAAGGCCGACGAATTTCAACAATCTGGAAAAACTATTGCTACGAAATTCCTTGCGGATGCACATCCACAACACTAGGCGAACGCATTTTTCAGATACTGATATTTGCATTACACAACATAAACATGAACATACCCAACAACAAACTAGCATGCTTTATTGTTTATGTTTTTTTCCCTTTGGATTTTACAGAGGTAAACGATACGGCGAAATGAGCTCCAATGCCGCCAAGTCATTCAACTCTTGGATTCGCGAAGCACGGAATCTACTAATCACCAGAATGGTTGACAGCATCAGAGGTCAGATTATGCGACAAATGGCGAAGCGGAGGGTGTCGGCCCACACATGAACTGGCACAATTTGTCCCAAAATGGAATCCCGGCTGGAAAAAGCTTACAACAAAAGTCGGGCATGGAAAGTGAGTCAGGTGAATAACGACGTTTATGAGGTCCATTCATTTCCATCCGTTATGGTGGACATCGGCAAACGTACATGTTCGTGTTTCCAGTGGCAAATAAATGAGTTTCCATGTGCGCATGCTATTGTTGCAGTGCGAAAAAGTGGGAAAAACCTTGACGACATAGTCGTACCTTGGTACCATGTGTCTGAATACTGTTTGACCTATGCGCCCACCATCTACCCAATACCAACAATTGAGAAACCACCATTCAACCCCACCGACTACGTCATTTACCCACCAAACGTCAAACGTCTACCTGGGAGGCCGAAGAAGAAGAGAATACCGTCTAAAGGTGAGAATGTGCAACAAATACGGTGCGGAAGGTGTGGACGTATGGGGAACCACAACAGGAAGACCTGCAAAGAACCTATGTAGACGTAATCCCAATACGTCAATATCCCAATTTATATAAGTACGTTTTCAAGTGGTTGTGTACTTCGTGCATACCATTAAATAAGAATGTGATAATCACATACAGTTCAGTATTTAAATAAGTTATTATATCAATGTTTTTGTTCGCCTATAAGTACAATTGGCTTAGAAATTTTGTTATGTTCTATCCGTTACACAAATATATTTGCGTACCTTTGCTTAAGCCATATTTTAATTTTGTCATAGTTTTGTTTTGAACACATAAATACAGACCGTGCCTACATGTACTTTGCGTGTATGTTCAATACAGCTAATCGCGCAGTCTGTTAGTTTACTTACGCATAACCGTACACACAACGACAAAATAATGAAACTCCTGGAAAACCTCCTTCGTTTACAATTACAACAATCACATTGTGACATGTAACTGCATACATACAGTACACATCTCACACCTCACGATTTTTCATACACTGGTAGACCAACGCATCACACTCAACTTTGTATATCGTACATGACCCGCCATAATGCAAAACCCACACAACTGTGTACTTCACATACAACGTACGTACGAAACATAAAATTGCTGCCTCCCTAACTTAACTTAACATTTACTAAAACAAACGTTCACACCACACTACCCCACGGCACCCTCAGCACCATCTCAAAATGTTTATCACAATTTACACATACTCAACATCGAACTACAAACATACTGACGCAAATAACAACATCCCACATCACACTAAAACACGGTCACGCATATTGTTAACCCCTTTCACACATTCACACATAACTGTTGTCCATGCACCACAATGGGCTGGAACGTGTGCATTATTTTAAGTAGTAAACCAATGTCAGTCTGATTGGGTTTACACATTATCCATCAACCACTAACATTAGACATGAATGAATGTCCCAACGCATAACTAAGGGAAAACAACCAGACAACATACTTGCGAACAACCACATCGGTCATCACAATACGCATACATTCCACAGAATTGCAACCAAAACATATCATAATATTTTCCAAAAAAAATGCCAGCTAACTGTAGTCATAATGTTGTACACGCCCGTGACGCGTTAATTCAAGACAAACCATCCAACACACTAACCTAACAATATGAACAAATCATAATCTGTGCTAATAATATAATGTGCATAACCAAAAAGGTAAATATTTTGCGCATCATAGCGCACACAATCTGAAAAACCCATATTCGATGTTAATATTATAACCATATATTAGTATGTGCACCCCTTCACACCCTCAACGTTACCCACAACGCGCCAGATGTGCATACCCTCAATCACTCCAGATCGTTCTTCAATTCCCGCAGCGGGTCATTGACAAAAAACTTCACCATGATTGCCCGCAACACACTGCAGTTGCCCCCATGCAGTGATCTCCTAACTTCCATATGGCGCGCATACTGGCGCATCACAGCACACACAATGATAGCTCAATCAAGCCTGTCCAATAATATCACATCGCATGTTATTAATGTCGTAAGTGTAAATTAAGACAATTCATGTTCTGTACCAGGTTATGTCGTTGAGAAAATAAAAATGTGCTTACGATTCAAGACGTTGTTGGGGACAGTCCACCACTGATTCTAACGGTGGGTCATACTCTTGAGTATCAATCGTGTCATTTCCCATGGTCTGCCTCTGCACCTCTAACACAATGTTTTTCTACAACAACGCATACATACGTCAGCGAACACAGTTTCCATGTGGACACACACACCCATACATTTTAACATGTACAAATCTTACTAGGGAAAGTGCCTCCATATAGTGTACGTCCATAATTCCGCTCCTCGTCCTCATCGAGTTAAAATGCTTCCAACTCCCATCCTCAGTGTCATACACGACCAGCGTCCAGTGTGAGTCTTTACAAATAAGGAAATGTACATAACGGAAGAGCTTTGCTGCATGCAGATTGTCCAGCACATACCTATTCCTTGACCGTACGTTGTTGTTCTTCATCATGTCCTGCATCACCATGCAAACGAGTTACACATTGTGACATCCCACAACCACACATAACATTTACAGCCATAAACTTACTAGACATATACTACTGAAGAAATAAGATTTCGTCTACAACATCAACGCCCTCATTTATCCTCTCCTGCTTATCATTAAATAACACAACATATGCATCAATCACCTGTGACATTTTTACATGTTGGATTCTTGCATGGTTGGAAAAAAAAACAAAAAACAAAAAACACATTGCATAAATACCCATCTACGCGACTTACATTCCCCCGTATCTCAGATTGGCGCACAAGTGATTTCACATCAGTGAAATACACAGAAACACCATGACCCTGCCCATCCCACATCACAGCACTGCATACAACACACAACACACATCATCCAAAAAACATATGACAGTCACAACGCTAAACCTAAACACCTTACTTGTACATACCTATCACCATCCCTGTTATATACGTCGGTGATCTTCTTTTTCTCCGTAGTTGTCATCATTTTCCACACCGCATGTCTATTGTTAATGTCAAACCCCGACTTCTTCTTCACTTGTACGTCAGCATCGTCCACATCAATTACATCCGTGCACCCACTATTTCTGGTATTGCAGACATTACTCGTGAATGAAGAAACATGCACCACGTTCGACTTGCTCGTATGCCCACTTACACCCAGGCACTCAACCCCCGTCAGTGTTAACCCCTTTCTCACTTTGTATTTAACATCTCACTCAAATGAATTTTTCCCAACATTCAACCTACCTCCTTCTGCCATGTTTGGACTTATAACCACCACCTTTGTTCCAGCCATTACACCATGCTGCATTTCATTGACACTGTTTGTTTGGCCCCGTACCGGCGTGACATCCCATACCGGTACTGCATCCCCAGTTAATGTAAACACTCTGTTAGGGGTGGTATTGTCTGTTAGGTCTGTAACATGTTCGTTCCCACTCAACCCGTGTTTCACAGTTTCTACATTCACGTCTACACCACGGAATGCTTGCGTCACGTTATGGACTTCGCGCTCAGTAAGCTGATCCTCTAAAACATTGACTGCCCTTTGCAATTCATCATTTTCAGTGGTGAGTTTCTTCACCTCATCGTCCTTAGCTTGCATCAAGGTACCAAAACCTCCAACAAGATGCAACGTTTGCAACTCATTCGCCTACCTCAGTCTGTTAACTTCTGCCGGTAACTCTGAAATCACTCTATCTTTCTCGTTGATTTGCAGTTCAAACTGTGTAATTTTCTCTGTAGCGTGGCAAACGTGTGGCCCAACGTCCACTACGTGCTTCCCTGCGTTTCGTGAAACGTTCCTGCTTGGTGTCTGGAAATGGACCGAAGTCGAACCCCGTTCCACATTTCTACCACAAATTCCTTCGTCCCCACCCGCCACATTACCATCCACTCTCATATCAACAAAATCATCGTCATGCACACTACCACCAAATTCCTCAATTGCATTTCCCACACTCTTAGCGACGTTTACCTTATTCACCTCAAAAATCTTCACCTCATAGTCTTTCGTAATCAATCGTCCAGTTGTCACTTGTAAACGCAACATAACAAATGCATGAACAATTTTCACACGATGTCCCGTATAATACAATCATAACTACCATTAACTATTACCTCAAACTCCACATGCCCTGATAAGTTGACCCACGTGCAACTGTCACTAATGTCGCAACATCTCACTTCAGAAACCTGGGAAATGCGACTGCAGATACGGGCGATATGATCGTTGAATGTTCACAGAGCCAGTACTGTACCCCACATCACACACAACAAATAATGACCTCCAAATTAGCTACATGACTACACCATATACAACATAAATAAATCACTTTCAATTAATGGCACACCCAACAAATAAATTACAAGCAAAACGTACCATCAACGCGACAACACATCCGGTGACTTTTTCAGGTGTTCGATAGAAGTCCCTCACCGAACTCATCAACGAGCTACGGATTGCCCCCGTTCAATCGTACGTTTTCATTGCATCCAAATTATCTACATATCGAATTAGAGCCCAGCTGATTGTTTCCCCAGAATTTGAGAAGAATAATTTCCCACAAGCATATAAGCATAGCAACTTCGCAGTGTCTTCCACATCACGAGCAATCTCGCCCTCCACAGCTTCGACTAGTAGGGTTCGTATCAGTTTCGAGGTTATGCGACTAGTGTCAAGACACCTACGTTGTACGAAGTCAGACGATGGCTTAGGTTGGGGGGTCAAATCAAGGCAACCTAACCCACATTGTATCCCAAAGATTAACTTGATGTTATCATCGCTTACGCACACGCTTCGCCCTCCAACGCAAAACGTCCCGTCCCGTCCATTGTACGCCCAGATGATATTTACCACCAAGTCGTTCCCTTTGCAGAACTCCGCGTGGTCAAGTTGATTTATCAAAATCGCTTCAAACATCAACCAGAACAGTGTTTTTTTAAGGTGAACAAGGTGTTCGTCTCGCAGATTCAGGATGTACACCAACTTCACAACGCCTGCAATGTTCGACCAGAAGTTGAACCTCATACGGTTAAGCTTCGGTGTGACACTTGGACGATTAACAATTTTTTTCTGTTTGAACAAGATCCGTCCTTGCCTACGTACCCCAAGTTCATTTGCCATTTTTTTGTTGCCTGCATCTTGACGTTTACGCTCACATGAACGCGCTCATGGACTGTTTGTCCTCCTAACCCCTGCATTTCGAACATCAAATCAAATATCAGTTTCATAAGCGTAATGTTACACACACAATCTCTTCGAAACTACATTACAATATTATAACATGTCAACACCACACACACACGGTTTACAACAGTAACACTCTTCACAGCAGCACATACTTATTAAAACACAACGTTAGAGTAACCACGTCCCACCAGCAACAAGAACAACATTACAATATTGGCACATAACATTTTATATTAAAGTTTGACTTTCTAATTTACGCAAAGTACATATCACAAATTTACAACGGAATA